CATCGGGCTCCCTGCTCCGCGGGAAGCCTGCTTCTCCCTCTCCCACTCCCCCTGCTTGTGTTCCCTCTCTCGCTGTGTCCTTCTCTGTCAAATAAATAAATAAAATCTTAAAAAAAAAAAAAAAAAGGATGGATGCAAGAGCAGAACAAACATGGTCTTTCACACCAAAGAAGTTATAGTGAATGTCTGACTAACTGGTCAACAAATAATTAATTGAAATGTTTAGATATTACAAAATGGGTCAGCAGAATACAATGATGAGTGCCAACATTAAGATGCTCATTATTCAGATATTAGCCTAGAAGAAAAAAGAAAAAGGCTTCCTCCTGCTTTTTGGTTTTTGTTTTTTAAGATTTTATTTATTTGTCAGACAGAGAGAGAGAGCACAAGCAGGGGGAGTGGGAAGCAGAGGGAGAAGCAGGCTCCCCGCTGAGCAGGGAGCCTGATGCAGGACTCGATCCCAGAACCCTGGAATCATGACCTGAGCCGAAGGCAGATGCTTAACCAACTGAGCAACCAGGCGTCCCCTTCCTCCTGTTTTTAAAGAACTTTAGGATGAGAAGAAACCTTTCTATAATGTACCTGCACCTATTCTAGCTGAGTCCTCTGGAATAACCCAGAACAATCATTCTGTTTTCCACACATCAACCTTCGTGTCCTGGAATCAGCTCCCAGACCTATGTTCAGTGTTCTCTTCTTCAGTTAAAGAGTCATTCCAACCCTTAAACCATTCCTCTACCTAGGACATAGTTTCAAGACATCTTCCCTATCCTTGCCACACACCTCTGGACTGTCCCACGATCAGATATTAGAAGGCCAAGAATACAGACTAACACTATGCAAATAATTTAACAACTGTGACATACTGTTGATCTATATTTTTTTAAGTTCTAATTAGTCTTTACCTTTTTTCATGTCTAAGATATTTCATAATAAATAGTTTAAATGTCCTAACATGATATAAAGACAACTTTGAGGGGCACCTGGGTGGCTCAGTCAGTCGAGCGTTCGACTCTTGATTTCGGCTTGGGTCATGATCTCAGGGTGGTGGGACTGAGCCCCACATCAGGCTCCGTGCTTGGTGGGGAGTCTGCTTGATATTCTCTCTCTCTCCCTCTCTCTCTGCCCCTACCCCATAAAAAAGACGACTTTGAATATTTTCTATTGCTAGTTCCATTTGGGAGTATCACAGAAGAAACATTCCAATTCATAATTTAAAGAGAATTAAAAGGAAATTTTAAAGGATCATTTTAAAAATACTCTCATCATTCTTAGCTGTCTCAGTCTCCTATGAAACACATACCCTTTCTTTTACTGGCTGTATAACTTTTTAATTGAAAACAGCACAGGATATTTTTGGACTTTTTTGTTACTTACTTATTGTGGAAATTTTCCCACACACCAAAAGGAGAGAAAGATTACCAACAATTTTGATGATTATCAACATTTTGCCGATCTTGTTTCCTCCATCCTGTGCCCCTCGCCCCCTGCCCCAGAGTATTTTAAGAAAATTCCAGCATCATATCATTTCATCTTCAACTGAAGCACATACTGTGTATTAGTGCCTATTATGCCATAACCACTGTGTTTAACCTTCTCTAGTGCTCAAAATAAATGAACATTAACAGTCAAGGCTAATCCTGTACTATCCATGTCTATTCTCGTTCGACTCTAATTTTCTTCAATGTCTGGATAAACACTGTTTTCAAAACCTATATAAACTATGAGAATTACTGTAGATCTTCAAAGTTCTACTTTCATCAGATAATATTCCTTTGTTATGGGTCTTTAAAATATTGCTGATTGAAATTACTTAGCTGTGTTCATTCAACAGTGGAACAATTTCACTACTGGGCTACTAACATGCTGGTTAATAAATTATGGTACATCAGATAATACTGCAATAACCTTAATAACTCACAAAATTTTGAAAGTATTTTGCACTACCTAAAGAAAAGGTAGAGTAGCAACATTAACAACCCATAATATCTACTTTTATTTTAAAGAAAACACATACGGGTTTGCCTTCCCAGTAACAATTTAAGAGAATCCACTGTCAAAATGATTATTTGACTTTAATTTCATTAAACTTTAGGCCCATAATATTCAATTACTACTTAATACATAACATGAGATATTTCTGTATCACTTTTAAAGAAAGCAAAAATTAGCTGGCAAATGCTATAATTGGCTTTAAGGAAGACAGGTCTTAGGAAACTTTCTGTGATTTATAAATTATTAAAAAAACAAAAACAAAAACCCTAAGACATGCTAGAAAATCTGAGGATTTGCAAAGATGGGAATACCAACTAATCATTAAGAGAGAGAACTCCTAACAGTAGCAAGTCATCATTATGCAGTGGTGAAAACCCTTCAATAAGTCAAGAGAGAAGGTAAATATAAACCCTGACAAAAAAATAGTCTACAGACTCTTATCTGGGAATTGCCAAAAACATTTCAATCAGGAGACATGAAAGAGTCTTGGAAAATACTACCGTCTGACTGGGTTGGGGGAGGGCCTTGAAGAATGTGAGAAGAGGGTTTGAAAGAAGGAGTTACAAAGGAAAGTATGTGTACATCCCTTTTCATCAAACAACTTCAGACTTTTTACAACCTTTTCACTTAGATTCTAACATAATAATTTGCCAAGGCAATATAACAAACTTTAAAAAGCAAAAACAAGGCAACAAAAACAAAACGGTGTGCTTTGGCTTTGTTGTTTTTTTAAATCAGGTATGATAAAGCACGAAGTTTCAACACTTACATCCGAGCCCACGCTTCTCATGGTACTTTGTAGAACAGGTTTAGTCACTGAGAGTTTTCCATTCACTGGGCTGTTTGCCACAGGGGCCGGTACCACATTCACCATGTGATTAGGTAGCTGTGTGGCTCCCCCCGCGACAGCAAGGACTGGGGCAGAAGAGGGCAGAACTCCAGGAGCCTGAAGTTGTACAACGGCAGGCTGAGAAAGCATGACGGTCGGACCTGCAGTGGAGGAAAATGGGAAGGAGTCAGAGTGTGCATAACCATTGTGGCAAAGGACGGTGTTAAAATTTAGGTCTCTTCTGCAGATACAATAGGAGGAGGACACTGAGGGGATTTAAAACCACCAATTAAAACATAATCAACAGCAGCACACACACACAGTGATTTTTGTTGTTTTGTTTTGAATGAAACCAACTAAATTTGTTCCCTATGAAGTTATCATGAACAATGTATTTCCACACTTTTTTCTCAACTGTATCCAAGTCAAACTTGCTAAGTTATACATAGATTTCTCTATTAACCACTGAAATTTATGAGTGCTAAAAAGTATTTTTCATATTATAAATATGAATCTTTTATACTGAACACTGAGAGCCACGTATTTTAAATTAATAGGATTTAGAAATACAGCACCAAAAATATATAAACGGAGATTCAGTAACTCAGTATGTGGAAGGACAGGGGCTACAAATACCAAAAATGTTAAAACTTGCAGCAACATTTCCCACCAAGATATGGATGCAATCCAAGTATCCATTAATTGATGAATGGATAAAGAACATGTGGTGTATATATGCAATGGAATATTATTCAGCCATAAAAAATAATGAGATCTTGCCATTTGCAAAAACATGGATAGATCTAGAGAGCATTATGCTAAGTGAAATAAGTCAAAGAAAGACAAATACCGTATGATTTCACTCATATGTGGAATTTAAGAAACAAAACAAACGAACAGAGAAAAGAGACAACAACAAAAACAGACTCTAGGGGCACCTGGGTGGCTCAGTCAATTAAGCGCCAGACTCTCAATTTCAGCTCGAGTCGTGATCTCAGGGCCATGAGAATGAGCCCTGTGTCAGGCTCCAAGCTGGGCACGGGGCCTGCTCGAGATTCTCTCTCTCCCTCTCCCTCTGCCGCCCCAGTCCCACTGCCCTGTCATACTCTGTCTCTAAAAAAAACAGAAACAAAAATTAAAAAACAAACAGACTCTTAAATAAAGAGAACTGGTGGTTGCCATCAGGGAGGTGGGTGGGGGATGGGTGAAACAAAGGGGACAAAGAGTACACTTACTGTGATGAGCACTGAGTCATGTACAGAATCGTTCAGTCATTACACTGTACACCTGAAACTAATAACACTGTATGCTACTATTAAAAATATACATAGGGCGCCTGGGTGGCTCAGTTGGTTAAGCGACTGCCTTCAGCTCAGGTCATGATCCTGGGGTCCTGGGATCGAGTCCCGCATCGGGCTCCCG